ATCAGTTAGGCTGTATGGTCGTTAGGCTTGAACATGTTTTGTCAAAGTGCCATTTGTTTATAAACCTCTAACCAGCCAGGACTTGTGTTCAGTGAAGCTTTGTAGTACAGGACCAAGTGTGACAACAGTCTGAGACGCTAAGGATCATGGGAGATGACAGTGTGCAAGAGACATGTGTCAGATCTACTGTAAGTGCCAGCAATGCAACCTGCCTTTCTCTTATTGCTGAGGCAGTGACGTTGCATGAGACCTGTAATCCTGAAAATGAACCAAATTGCACTCTGTTCATTATTATACCTTTAATGCCACTTATTTTTACAGTTCATTTGTTATTCTACTTTCAGTTAGTTAGAAAACCAATTGCTAGAGCATAACCAAATGTTTCAAGCAACCACAGTATTTACCAAAAGAATGGAAAATAACAAGACATGTTTGGAACTTTTTAATGAATCATAAATGTAAGAAATTAATTCATTCTTCAACTTAATTATGTTTTTTAATTATATGCTTTTAAATCCTTAAAAATGTAGCTTGCTTTTTCTAAAAGGTTGGAAAATTCATTTCACTTCATTTAAAAGCAATAAGTACATAATAAATTCCTCACCTCCCACCCACCTCTAAAGAAATCTTGCTATGTACTGGTCTTCACTTGGTCTTCTTATGGAAAAAATGATGCGTGAATTTTGGAATACTTAAACCTTTTCTTCCAAATAGTCTTCTTGATTTTTTTTAAAATCAACACCACATGTCGATGGGATATTGTAGATTTTTTTCACACGCAGAAGGGAGGAAGTATTTTTTTTGCTTCTGCTGCAAAGGCATCCCATTGGAATGATGCCTTTGCTAGGTTTAGCTTAGTTAAACAATTTAAAATAAATACAAATAAAACCACTTGGTCTATGTGTAACCAGATTTATCAGCAAACCAGGAGGCTGGCAGAATTTCTTTTCAAGCCAGCAGAAAGCAAGTCCACATTGTCCTCACCAAGAGGCTCAGGCTGTTTTCAAGATGCTCTGGTGACTTGGCTCCCACAGAGATTCTCAAGGACTTTGAAAAAAAGAACATTTTATTCCATTCAGTAAGGCTTTCTTCTTTTTTGTGTAAAATGAATGGCTAAACCTTCTCCTAGAGGGAAAGATTATGAAACAAATCCTTGCAATTGTTCCTGATGATCATTTATTACTATAGGAATCTTACATTGATGCAGAAAATTATACCTTTAATAACACTGGCCATATGATGTACAGTAATAGGTAAATTGTGTATTGATGCTGCTTTGTGAATCTCCCAGCAGTGATTTCAAGATCACATATAATGCCTTCTTTCTGTCAAAGGAATAAAAAAAAAGATAACAAACTTCAGTTCTGTTCATCAGTTTCTCTTTTATTTTTCAGCATTCATAACTAAATGCACTTTACTGGCATTGCAGATTTTCTAGTTTTTTTTCACACTTTGTGGTGTTATCTAGAGCTGGCTAGCTATCCGCTGTCTTAACTAAGTAACAGTTTCTGTCAGTTGCAATGTGTGTTAATAGACTACACATTACTGCCGTCGTTCCCTGTCACGCAGGGAGAAAGAGATTGGCATTTAAAGCAAACTTTAAGATGTGTTACATGATTGACAGTTTATTTGCAAGTACATCACGTTGTAGGAGATACAGCAAAGATGTTTCTGTTTATTCCTGATGATAATTCTGCAGCTGTACTATAAACACCACCACAGAAACATAACCTACCTTAGACAAATATCTGACACACTCACAGACTTTTTTATTGTACACGTACTCATTCATACTTAGAGCCACGGTGACTGAACTCACCCCACCACCTGGCTAACTATGCTTTATGTTCGTCTGATCTGTTTCACCTTATCTGAGCTTGGCACCCAAGACACAGAGGCCAGATATTTAACTTAATAAGCCATCTGACAGTGGAGGTGGACCATAATTGCCACAGTTCCTGCCGTGTACAACCCTCTCAGAAAAATGATCCAGTCCATTGCACGGCTAACTCTTTTAAACTGGTTCTTAACTTTGTCAGTTGCCTTCCTGCAGGCTGGATCGTGTCCATTCTGACCATTGTGGGAAATAATTAAGTGCTGGGAAGCATAAGCTTATAGCGCTCTCATGCCTTTTGTGTTAGCTATATTCTCTGGTCGTTCAGTATGTTGGCAGATTGTTGGCTACACTTGCAGTTCCCCAAGATCTTGATGTGGGCAGTGCTGAGACCTCACGTTTGGTACGAGTCATAGAGAGTGCTGGAAGTAGCGCCCCCCTCATGTTGTTTTACTTTGTGACGTTCCTTTTTTAAGTGAGGTGACGTGGAAAATGCAGAAGTCACACTAGAGTGCAGTTCTGCTGTGGAGAGCACACTTTGTTGAGGGCGTGCTGGGCCTTCTTGTAGGAAAATAATTTTACAAGGTTCCTTGCTTGATCTACTGCCAATATGTCTGGGCTGAACATATCACTTTTCTCCCCCTTAGCTTGAGGTTATAATTAATTCTTCTAGACTTGACTGAGATTTATTATTCTATAAAGTTCAGAAACGTGCCAGCTGCACAATTAATTTGGCTGCTTTTCGTCTCAGAATTTGTTATGCCAGATCGCTCACAGTATTGGACATTGGACTTCCATTGTTACTATGACCTCCTCTGGGTTACTGTTCTGCAGTATAATTGATAAGGTTGATAATAGTCAAACTCATACCTTTGCAGCCTGCTCAAGCTAGCGTTTTAATTTCTGACTTTAAGTCTTCAATTTTTATGTCTGAAATGCTAAGTGGCCAACCAGAGCTAGTGACCAAAGTTGATGGAGACGGAGGTAACTATAGAGTTAAAAAAGCCCATATCTTATCTCACAAAAGAGAAATGGATTCTGAATTTTTTCATGTCAAAATCATAGTCCAACTTGGTGGGAATGGAGGACTTGCATTTTAAATAAGAGAAGTTGATTCTCGCCGGCTCCCCTTTAAAATGGCACCATACCCTTCAAACATACAACATTTGTTCAACATTATAATTGCTACAAAAGTCAAGAATCCTGAATTTGAAGTTTAACCTTGACATTGATCCTCAGAGTACGGAACAGGCAATTTCTAAGAGCAGCTTGATAGCAGTAGAAAAATCAATCCGTCCATCCGTTCTCTGAAATCCACTTATTCCTGTTAAGGACAGCGCCAAACCGGAGCCTGTCCCGTAAATGTAGGAGTGAGCGCATCCCGGACAGACACCCGGGGCCACTCTAGAGACACCTGTGAATCTACACACCACACTTCTGAGTGGGGGGAGAAATCAGAGCTCCCTGAGAAAACTCACTGAATACGGACAGAACTTGGAACCCTGGGACCTCGGAGCTGAGAGGAAGTAGTCCTGACTGTCACAATCAAGCCGTTTTAAATGTGATGTTTATCCTTTATTTTTGCTTTTCGAGGCGCTTTGGGACGCTTCACTCTGTGAGACACTCTCAGTGATCAGCTGAGAATTCTTTGCAGGAGATTTGTTTAAAACAAAAGTACAGTCTCATGTTTGTTCAGGTATTAGCACTGATAGAGGGAGCTTTATCTTTACACTCAGTGATTTATTGGCACACACTGAACTGGGATATCAGGGGAGCAAGGTTTATTGCTTCCTCAGGACTCTGGCATTCTTGTCTGTGAGTCCATATAGATATGGGATTAAAGAAATGAGGAGGGAGAGGTAAACAAAAATAGGGAGTGAGAGATACAGAATGATGTATATGTGTCTGGGTGTTATTTTTCTTTTCCCCTCTGGTTTCCTATCCAGTGAAGTATTCCTGGCCCACTGGTAAACAAAAATAGCAACAGTTCTCAGGGACAGACATCTTTTTTACGGCACTTGGCAGGGTAATAGAGGCTGCTCTGTGTGTATTTTTATTGAATGTCTATTTCTGCCTGTCCACCAAGTACATTTTTTTTTCTAGTCAGTTGTGCTACATCACAGGCTGATCCTGACTGCTCAACACTGTTTAGTGAATCTCGTTCGCTACTTTGAGTGTGTGACACGTCTTGCCACATTGCCCTGGTGTGCACATTCCCTGTCTCCCTTTCCATCAGGTGCACACATGAGGTGGCACTGAGTGGCTCAGCCTGACTCTCAAGGCGAGGACAAGGGGAGCAGTTATTGGCGAGGGTGAACTCCAGATGGTCAAGGAGACAGGCTAGTGCTGTCCATATATTGCCTCTTTCTGTGCTGTCTCTGTAGGAGGGCTTTCTTTTAAAAACCCATCTAAATCAAACCTCCACTTGCAAAAATCCTGCCTTTTACCTTTTTTCTTCAGTTTTGCCAGCAGCTGTTGTACACAGACTAGTTTATTCATGTGCTGACTGAGAATTTCTGATTAAGATGCTAATTGCAAAAAAAAAAAAAGGATTTTAACAGGGCTGGGTGGTGCGGGAATTGATTAGATTTTTAAATGCAAAATAATGTACTGCACAGTGACTGTTGCAAAGTACATAATCAAAATGGAAAAGTACTGAGTACTAATTGCTGGCTGCCCAGTTTATCATAAATACAGATTATGCAGAGTGTAACAAGACCTCTAGATCAATCAGGATGTTTTACTTTCTATCGATTTGCAAAAGGGGAGTAGTCATTGAACTTTAGAATGCAGGGAAACAGATGAGTTTGAAAACACAGAAGCTGAACATTTTAGTGCTATTTCATCACAGTCTACAGAGGAACTCAAAATGATCTGAAGTGCATCTAACTGCTTTGCAACGGGATTCTAGTCTGTGTTCCTGTAATCCCCATAGATGTAGTAGGAGGGACTGTAGCGCTGGTGAGCAGCCCGGCACTTCACACAGTTCTCAGACAAGGAATAATACTTCGTCACTTCAGCTCGTCCCTGGAGGAGACACCAGAAGTGTGGCGCGTGTGGGTGCATCTCATTCGCAATTAGAGCAGGTCGTGGGGGTTAGAGAAGACTGTCGCTTCAGCAGCACTTGTGAAATGAGCTTGCCTGTCTTCTCTCTTCGTCTCCCCAGGAATTTTCTGTTTTGCGAAGGTGAACACAGCGAGGACTGGGACAAAAGGAGAGGTCACTGAAGGCGAAGGAAGAGAGAGAGGGACACTGGATAATCTTGCTCCAGCAGAAGGAGGAACACCATTTTGACTGGTGCGTCTATATAGTTCATCCCATTAATGCTGGAAGCTACTATTTTGAATGGGGGTTGAGAGCTGTTGTATAATAGTTTTTTTAGTTTACAAATATTCATGTCAGAGTTCTTTGTTTAGTTAACAGGCTCAGAGTTTTTGTCTTCTTACATTGGTCAGGTCATTTTTTGGTGATCCACAACCCTATACAACAGTTTAGGATATTATTTTTCTAACTAACAAATCAAATGAGAAGAACAGTTTCCTCAGACGTCATCATTGGTGCATCATTATTTACATGACATTTCTATCCTTACAAGTACTGAACATTGCAATCTTAATTCAGGAAGAATTTTTATAGCCTTTATGAGCTGGGTTACTTTTCCCTATAGTAAATGCTGTGGTGTTTCTAACCTGAGCCAAATGTTGTAAATGTTTCAATCTGTCATAAAGGTATTTATTAGGCTTTTGTGTAATTGACTGGAGAGAAAGATCTGGGATTAGTTTTGTGAGCTGCTAGACAGTTCAGGTACCTCACTAATTGAGCATGTGAGCAACTAAGAGGTTTTGGCAGATTTGTTATTAGACAGCACATTCCAATAATTAAAATACAAATGTCAAGATTTAGTAAAAATAATGTAAATGATTTTTTCCTAGGTGGGCACAAACAATTAGGACAGTAGGTAGGACAATTAGGTAGCAGGACATTTTGACTTGGTTTTACGGAGGGTGCTAAACAGCTTCACATAGATTCTTCTGTATGCCAACCGTGATGCTTTTAACATGTACTGGATGCTAGTGTTAATCTCTTCCCTGAGCCTATAATATTATCTGAGCAGGGCGTGAGGGCACGGTAACAGTTATGTTCAGAATTTCTGCCCTAACAACTGTACCACACTTCTGCACACTACTTATTAAAGCCTCCTTTACTCCTCCACTGAAGTGCACTCCCCAAGCAGTGGTTCTCCCCAGTCATTGCCTACAGCAGCACCGCCTTCAAGACAGGAATTCCAGCAGCCCTGCGTGAGACCCGGAGCCAGCATGCAGAATCTTGAGCCCTGCAGATAATGCTTTAGGTCTCCCCTAGGTGGACTTGGTGCTTATGCTTGTTCTTCGGGATTCAGTGAAAGAGAATCTCTCCTTTTAATTAACCAAAGAACTGTTGTACATAAATATAGGTCTAAATGCAGCTAACAATAAGCCTTCTCTTCTTGTGAAGATATTTCCAGACATAGCAAAGGCTTTTGCTTTTGTCTGATGTGACAGCTGGTGTTCCCTAGTCATTTTCAGGAACTGATTCTATATAGTGCTCATTTGAACTTTGGGTTTAGAGATTACACACAGGGCCACTCAACACATGGCTGCTCTGATTTATTGCGTGGTAATACCTTAATACATCCTGCAACCATTAATTCGGTGTTGGCAAATGATATCCACAGCCCAGAAGTGTTTTTTTTTTTTGCTTCTCAGAAGTTGCTCCTGAGTGGCGAATAAAGGCTCTTACTGAGAGGGGGCTGAGCTCTGTGGCCAAGGGGCTGCAAGCTAAGTCTGAGCCACAGCCGTGCCTCCAGACGGCTGTGACCAGGATTCCCCAGCAGCAGAGTAGTTGGCTATGGGCCACAGGCTTGCAGTGATGCCAGTGAGAGGTGCCAGTGCTCCACCAGTCGACACGAACTCTCCAGTCTGGGACGCCAGCGCTGGAAGCTGTGGAAAGATGAAGGGCTCTGATGGTGGGCAGGTCAGGGGAGTTTGAATGCCCGTCCTCCTTCTCTCCATTCAGTTATGAGCTGTTACTGTGAGCTGAGACATAAAGAAACAAGTGGCGATTCCCAGCTGGGTGGGTGTAAATGAAATTTACATATTGGTTTTTGTTTTTAGTAAGACTTCAGAAAATCAGACAACTGATCAAATATATACTGATGTGTGAAGTTTGTGTTCTCACTTTCTTAATTGAACAAACCCTGCTCAGTCCATTGGCAGATGAGTCTCCATGCCATTTAGAAAGGATGAGTTAAAGATAACAGAGAGTCTTCAAGGCTGGACTTTGGCCACTACTCTGTTAAGAGTCGCAGTGATCCTTCTCATTATGAACGGATGGAGCTGGCTGGCTGATAATTTCAGAATGGAGCAGGTTGAAAGCACCAGTCTTGACTGCTAGGTTCTGGTCCATTATTGTTGTTTTGTTGTTATTGTTATTTATGTTTGTTATCATTACCCCCGGTGGTAGCACAAAAGATTGTGAAGAAGAATTTATTACGATTGAGACTAACAGCACAAAACCAAGGAAACCCATCACAGAAGGAATGTATTTCTATGGCATTAGTCAGCTCTGAGCTTCTCTCCAGTATCTGCGGTTCTGGGAATAGGTCTCCATTCCAGTGGCATGCACAGAGCCCCTATGGAGATCACCAGAGCAATCCAGTCCAAGATGCAGTTCAAAACCAGAAACCTCTGGCTGCCTCCTGTCTAACCACTCCACCACATTGCCTCACTTTTTGATGCTAAATAGGTTCCCCAAGATTCAATAAATACACAAGGTAAATAAAGAAATCAAACAAAAATCTGTTTCAAAATATTAGCTTGTCATTCTTTTTTCCTGTAGTCACACAAAACGGCCAGTGTCGGCTGCAAACAGATTTCTCCCGGGTGTGCCAAATAAAACCAGCCATTAGGCTTCAAGCTCCACAGTTTGACTGTATTAAACTCGCTGTTAATATGCAGTGACGATTTCCAAAACCAGAACACAGGGGATTTGAAACAGGCCCTGGCAAGAGGACTGTACACCACATGCCCTTTAAAACATACAGAGTTGCAGCGGTTGTGTCTCTGACATTAGTATAAGGTTACAAAGTGAATATTTATTAAACCATATTTTAATGCTTATATTCCCAGTCTGTTTATATATGTATTTAAAAAAAGCCTGCTCAGTTATAATTAAACCTGAATGTCTAAAGAGGTATTAGAGCAGAGTATTATCCAGCTAGACACATGCCAGCTGAATTTATTTTTGCTATGCTTTCTCATTACCAGGAAAATCTTTTCCTGGTTGCTCACTAGGCAGAGGTGACCATCTGTCTTACTTTCAGCCATTTTTATCAGTGTTTTGAAAGGCAGGCTGAGATTGGAGGACTCGTGCGCCTCTTCCACTCCCTCCAGTCTGTGTCTGAACTTGCTGTTCTTGAGTGGCTTGCCGGCCCAGAGCCGAGGAATTCTGGGCTCAGATCAGAGCACCACACACGCTGCACACGGACACTGAAACAGCCGATACAAGCAGCTCATCAGTTAATGGAGTGTGGGTTTGAATGGGCTGTTTATACCAGGATTGATGGAGAGCGAATGTGTGTGTGAAGTGTGCTTCTAAATGACTAGCCACTAAAAATGCTGTTTGTAGTGGCTTGTCACCCTTTTCGAAAACAGCCCTGTGTCCGAACTCTGCTAAACAAACAGCGGTGTAGGTGTTTCTGTGGCAACCTCACACATCCTAGAAACAAACAGTGGTGATGCTGATACACATGCTCCAACCGGCGAGCTGATTGCTCGGTACATGAGCCAGTGATCAGTGCAGCCCTTGTCAACCCTTGTGGTACAGTGAGAGCCTGTGGGGCCAGGCAGTGGGCTCCACTGCCCTCCCTTCTCCGTCACGCGGCCCCTAAGAATCAGCAGCAGGGTTCTGAGTATCTGTCTGAATCTTCTGATAATCCTCTTTCAGCTGTGCCTGTTCAGGACCTCTGGTCCCCGTGTTGACCTCTGTGGGTCATCTATGAATGACTTGAAAACTGCAGTGCAGAGGGCTGCACTAGTGGCCCTGGAAGGGCCTCAAGCGCTGCAGCATAACACCCAACAACAGAGTTGACAACATACTGCAAAACCACCAGCCTCCTGAAATTTATTTAAGAATGTCAGGGTGAGCTGTTTAAAAATCTGCAGAAGCAGTGCAATGACACCAGCATTTTTGAAAGTGTGAGGTTAAAAGCATCCAAATGCAGAATGGTTTCAGCTCTAGAGAATATTTCTTTTGACATCTGGATGAATGAATCCCAGTGAAAGTTTACAGCGATCTGAACCGTCCTGTGGTCTCGTAGCACTGTGTTCAATTAAGTTGAATAAATGAGATGTCTTTGTATGGGGTAAAATCTTTCTGCATCGTTAACATCAGAATCCAAGTTGGCTTACCCTCCGTTTCCTTCTGTCTGTTGCAAATCATCTTTTAAATAACTGTATCCATTAAAATAGGAAAAGAGGACGGGGGTTTTGGGTGCATTATGTAGAGATGGCAATAAATCCCCTTTTTGATGAGAAATCAAGCATCTGCATTTTCTTTATTTAGTACAGTATATTTCCATCAGCTCATTCGTTTGGAGCTTTTTTTAATTGTGCTTGTGATGGAAATGTCAACTTCTCCAAAGCCAAAGAGTCACAATGCCAATTGTATTTATTTTTATTTACCACCTAAATCTCTGGGCTCAGCTTTTCCAAGCAAGATGTTGAGGGGACTTTATGTTTGACCCTCTGTCATTGCTCAGCACTTAACTTGGACTGGGGGTGTATTGATGCTGAGTCTGGCCCGATCTAAGCTGAACTCCTATCTTTAGAGAGGTTTTTTAATTTATTTGCAATGTTGTCTGTCTTTCCAAAGAACAAGATAAAAATATGCAGACCATATAAGTATAGCCTTCCCAGAAACAGCGTAAAGAAAGAAAAACAAGATTTCCTGAGATAACAGGGTAGTATATAAAAGAATTTCAGTGCTTTGTTAAAATCTCAGTTGTTATGATTTCTGTAGAGAAATAGATGCATGGAAAAAATCATGCTAAATATCTATATTTTTGTAAATGTATAGCATCCGCTTTAGATTGGTCTCATTTACATCATTACATTTCTTTTAGATGTTAATGTTGTTCCTGGTCATTATTTCATATTAAAAAGATTCATAAAGATCCCGACAGCTGACTACAAAATTCTGTTATTATGAATAATATTTTAATTTGGCTTGTTTTGTTGCTCACATCCAGTCATTTGTGT